ATGTCAAAAACTGTAATAAAGGAACTAAAGGTGAATATGAACCAATTAAAAACAGACAGTGTTATGGTTGCTGTTGCAGAAAATAAAAAGCGAATGGCAGTGTGGCATTTTGCAGATTTATTTCTGGGTTCAGAGGCACGATCATTGCATGTCTAATGAGACATACAAGAATCCCGCAACAAACAAAGACATAACTAGAACTTAATTGCTATAGGAAACAGATGAAGAGAATAACGGATCAGGAGACACAGGCGAAAAAGCTACATTAACAGAGAGAATCAATTATCTACATACATACAAACAAGAAATAAAACCTGACATCAAAGCGATGACTCAACCTATGGAACATAAAAAAAACAACAAAACACCCCAAAACATTAACATTGTGACAAAGTGTTATGTCAAGTCATATACAAACAAACGCACACATGCTCCCATCCCAATATGGATTCAAATATGTGACTTTTCAGCACGCCTGCATACTTGCCTCAGGATTGGACAAGCCAAATGTCCTGATTGGTGCAGTAGATGACTCACGTAGGTTCTTTGATGTAGTGATTTTAGATATAAAACATTTATAGACATACAATGTGCATAAGTGACATTACCATACTTTCTCTTTTTGGTTAGTGGTATTACTGCTGAAAGTGAACCACACAAGGGTTAACCAGTACCAGTATATTGGCCAATGACTAAACCAACCCAATTGGGCAGGAAGAGTTCAGCCAAAGCTGAAGGAAATTTGTTTTTGCCTAATTGACCTTTAAATGACAAACCCTCATAGAAAAATAAATATATTTCAGCCTCGAGTAGCATGGAAACAAGTCAAGCCTGACTTTAGCTTGGCAGGGCGGACAATAGAATAATCATATGAACTTGATCAACTTGTATATCAAACTGTGTGTCTCAAGGGAGCTGAAAAGGCATATGCATGTATTTGCATGTATTTGTGTACTTTTAGAGAATGTTCAAATGCCTTCAGGATGACGAGTGAGTCAGAGCGGTTCAGAGACATCTCATTGCTTTTAATGAGTGTGTGTGTGTATTGGTCTAATGGGCTCAATCTGAGTTCAAGAATCTGGCAAGTCTGCATATCAGTAAAACCGCTGAAGTCCCAAATGTACCTGTAAACATATTTCAGCACCTGGTCACATTGTGTTACATGTACATGTGTTGATGTTACACACAGCACATATTTCACAGGAACCTTTTGGGAAACTGGGAAACATGCCATACTTTACTAGAGTGTATATTTTATCTTGACTAAATAGAGGCCATGTCAGTAGGCTGCTTTCTATTACAAAACAAATGAGAGCATCACATCACAGAATGAATGCACATGATGTTCTCAGCAATATGTCTAAGATCTGTAAATCTATATAGATAGATAGATAGATAGATAGATAGATAGATAGATAGATAGATAGATAGATAGATAGATAGATAGATAGATAGATAGATAGATAGATAGATAGATAGATAGATAGATAGATAGATAGATAGATAGATAGATAGATAGATAGATAGATAGATAGATAGATAGATAGATAGATAGATAGATAGATAGATAGATAGATAGATAGATAGATAGATAGATAGATAGATAGATAGATAGATAGATAGATAGATAGATAGATAGATAGATAGATAGATAGACAGACAGACAGACAGACAGACAGACAGACAGACAGACAGACAGACAGACAGACAGACAGACAGACAGACAGACAGACAGACAGAATATAAAAACTGCGACTCTTCAGATATTTGGTTCGAACCAGTAAAACATTTTCTGAAATGTTTTTTTGTTTTAGAAAAAAATGTTTGTTACTTACATTTCAAGATTACCAAGTTAAGCATTGAGATTAATTGTGACTAATGGGAGCTGGAGGATTCTGCACACAGTAGATGTTCCTCGAGACAGAAGTTATTGTTCGAATCTGCTGCAGCCAACCCTAGAGGTTGTATTTTGGATGTGTTTGTGTCTGCTATCCAAAGTAGGAACTAAGTAGCAGACCAGTTTGTATACAAGAGGTCCAAGTGTGCAGCTGTATTTATTGACGGTGAGAATGTGGACTATCTTTTGGTTAAAGCCAGAGTCACACAGTTGGATCTATTGACCATTACAGCTTACTTGGAGCGCTGCCAGACCGGTGAGGTTGTAGCCTTGGCATGAGGCTAACCTCTACAGTCCTACATGACATTCTGTAAGACTAAAGTTTGTACAGGGCCTTCTTCTGATGCTAGCATGATAATTTAAAAGCAAGGAATTAACCTATGCGACAAATCTAATGTCTATATGTCAGTAGCTAAAACTGATCAATGTTTGCCTTCATGGTTACCAAACAAATCTTCTGGAGTTATTCACAAAATGTCCCGTATGGGAATATCAAGATTCATAGGAACTCTTTTTTGTTATCCACCACATAAAACAGTCAGGATGAATTGTTTGGTTTTTCAGAACTGAGACCTGACTGTAGAAACATTAACAGTTTTGACATGTCTGATCATTTTAAACATCCTCAGACCGTATTGAGGCTGCAATGAATTAATACCAAGAATGTCAAGAGGAGCTAACTGTTTGATTTCCCAAGAGAACTGACGCTAATAGCAGAAGAATGAAAGCTTGTGATGGTTTGCATGCATGCAGCATTGTTGTGCAACAAAGCCTCCGGAGGGTTGAGGCAGAACCTTGGAGCCAGCTCACCCAAACAGCTGCCCTGTCTCTTGTAGGACACACAGCAAAGAGTTCAGCGACTTTCTGCCTCTGCTTGTACAAACACGACGAGTTCATCTGAACAGAGTTTTAAAAAAATTTGCTGGATTGGGCTCCCCCCCCCACAGATCTTTAATGTAATACATTCACAGGACTTGCACATGCTCAGAGAGAAAAACAAACAGGACGCCTCTACTCGGATGACCGGGATGAAAGAGATTGCGTTCCAACACAGTTTAAATCCATCTTTTCCGGTGCTGAGTTGAGCAGATTTGGTTGTTGCTTTACATGGTCTCTGTGGAGGACCTTTGTCTGAACCTTGGTCTGAATGACTTACACTAAACTGTAACACCCTGCACACAGAAACACAGAGTTCTCCAAACCTGTGTTGAATTAACAGAATTACAATGTGACAATATCGATATGTCAGAAAAGTGGATAACATGTTTTTTGTGTGGTATTTGTGGTGAAGAAGAAAGCAGTTATGAGGAAGTTGGTGACGTTTGAGGGCTCTTTCCAAGAACTGTAGCTTTCTAGGGAATTACACTTTTCAGCTTCAGGGTATAAACTAGGGATGCACCGATTGCAGTTTTCTGGCTGATCACCAATTACAAATTTATTAAAAATCCTGACCTGCCAATTCCGATCTTGGCTGATACCAATTTTTTTTTTTTTTGTCTAAAATGTTGCTAAATGTAGCAAGAAAGTTGACAAGTAACCAATAGTGAGATGACTGTTGTTAACTGCAAACATATAGACCTGATCTGGTGGGACGGTCTGCTAGTCAAACCTCTCTCACAGCGGAGCAGAAGATAATAGTTGATTTAAATACCTTTGCCGAGGTAGATAAGATTGGTGGTTAAGATTGACTTCACGTATAAAAAATTGGAAACGGACACTGATAAATCGGCTGGCCGATAAATAGGAGCATCCCTAGAAAAAACAAATAACCCAGGTAAAAATTTACTTGAGAGTTTATACTGCCGGTAATGTGGAGAGGTATCACTTCTAATATTTTTCTGAAGCTTTGGATCAGGGTGTGTTAATAGAAGCATTTCAGATACAAGAACATTAGTGGAAAAAGAAATCAAGTGAAAAACAAAACTGAAAAATTTTGGCTGCAGAAGACCAACAAGAAAAATAACACCAGCGCACATGACAGAAAGTCAATAAATGGGACAAAAAAACAGTCCCCTAACTTTTGAACATGTGACTGATTAAAGTTTTAAGCATCTCTTTTTCTAGCTTCTCGCAACAGTTTGCTGTGTTTAAGTGCTGAAGTTACTCTGAATGTAATGAGTAACAACAAGGGAAGATTGTTTTTACAGCTGTAGTGTCTCTAACTATGGGCTTGTTTATTACAGCCCTGCAGAAACAAAAATGTGTTACCTTTGTTGCTTAAAAAATCCTTTGTTTTAAAACCGGTGCGTGTGTAAATTACTGCGAATTAATTGCTTCTTTAACAAACACCAGGGTAAATGTTGTCCTAAACATCAAAACAGACCCATAAAATTTTGTTTAAGCAATCTCGTTGCTTTTTTTGTCCCATTCCTATTTGGGTGAATCACTGGGCTTAATTAGCGTTGTCTACATGCACAGAAGAAACCATTTTTAAAATGTCTTGATCTGGTTAGCCCCATTAGCAGACTGAAGACCTGCTGTTAACTGAGCAGTTTCAGTCTCATTTAATAGCTAGCATCATAATCAGCGTTAGTACCAGACACAGGGCCTCCTGTTAAAATGAAAAGATGTATTACATTTTAATGAATAATATTAACGTTTGACTAAATGTGACATATCTTGTATAATTGAGGTGCAAAACATACTAGTTTATTGGACAAAAACTGCTATAAGCATGTTGCTGAAATATGCATACCTTATACAAAACGTTTTTAAAGCACCTTCTGTTTTCAGCTTTCAGCAATCATTCTTCTTCTCCTCAAGTAACACTTCTATGACCTTCAACAACTGCAGTACTCCGCCTGCAGTGAGCTGGACCTCACTACATTTTGGGATCATATCAGGTGATGTAATCGTCAGCATTCATGTTAGATATCTTTTGAGGTTCAGGCATACGACAATTTTTGCATCGTGTTTCTGAATGTAAAGTATGTAAGTAACTGTTTAATATCAGAAAAAGTTAAGCCCACACACTTAGTGTCTGTTCCTGAGGGCAGCTTCTTCGAAAAGCCATAAAAGTTTTATACTCGGAGCTCCAAGTGTGCTTGTTTCTCTCCACTACAGTTTTAAGACACACTTAAAACAGAAATCAGTTCCCACTCACCGAACCTCTTGTATCCAAAAGACTGTACTTCCTCCTCGTCTCCAAAGTCGTCTGGGGGACATAATGGGAAAAATACAGCAAAAAATTAATAGAATGCTGTTGTCATAAAAAATAAATAAAATAAATTAAAAATTTTTTAAAAAATTTAAACTTGGATAAGTTCATGAAGCCAAATAATTAAGATTTTTATCTTCAAATTAAATAATTTGTGCAGGAATGCACGGAAAACTTCTTGTCTTTGTGTTTGTGTTCATGTGTGGGGTTCAGTGGTCCCAGGAATGCCACCAATTGTGGTTTCTCTGGTTTGTTGACGGTAAACTCTAATTACACAGTGCCACACTACAATGAAAACCAGGACAAAAACATGGAGGGTAATGATAGGCAGATGGAGCAGAGGGGAGAAAGACATGGGTGAGAGGGGAGAAGTAAAAAATGTAAGAGGTGATGATCTGGGATGTCAGAGGGGATGAGATCAGATGAAGAGACGTGGATAATGACTGAATCACTTATTTGCTTGCGTTACTTCGTGGGTCTCTGTAGCAAAAGTTGTGGGTTTGATTCCAGCTTGCCCCTGTCATGTGCCGGTTTGCCAGCAGGCAATGAATTAGCAACTGAAGATGTAGAGTAAAGTTATTGATGTGCTAAATAAAATTCGATCCACTTCATAGTCACTTAGCGTCAGTGTCTTTCACATTGGCAAAGGTTTGAAGTTTCAGCTGAAACAAAGCAAATGGTGGTCAAAACTCTTGATCCTTGAATAGTTTCTTGTAGCATCTAATTGTATCTTCTCTTGGCTGCCTGTTCAGTATTTTGATTTAATTTATAATGATTTGATATAAAAGTTATATTCATCAAGTCCCTATACCCACTTATGCATGCAGGGGTCATAGGAGAGCTGTTGTCTATCTCCATTGGTCACTTGGTGAGACTGGTGTAATAGTTCTCAAACTTTATTGTTTTTATTTTATTTTTTTTACTTGTGGAGGTGTGCAATATAATTAAGACACCAGGTCTCATTTTATAAGAGCCATGCTTTAGAAAACATACTAAATAAAAAAATGTTAAAATTCTTCAGTTCAACTGAGATGTGCAGCCACAAGTCCTGCAAGTGACCATTGCAAGAATTGGCATTTTGTTCAAGTTCTGTGTCTAATATATTAGTCACATGTTTAGTATGAAGTTTCTTGAATCGAATTAAATAAATAGCAACACACAAAAAACAAAATATTTTGTGTTGACACGACAGCCGGAAAAGCGGCAATCATTTTCATTTTGCTTAAAATCAACAAACTCTTTGTTTTATTGACATTAAGTAACATGTTGAGGTGGAACAAATGTGATGCAATGACATTGAATGCAACTTGTAGACTAGACAGTCAAACTCCATCACAACAGAGTTTATATGTATGTAAACAACTGTGTCATCAGCTTAGAAATGGTGAGTACCATTAGATTCATTTTACCCCTAAATAGCAATGCAATTTACAAAAACTGTTGACTACGATACAGACTCTTGAGAAGCTCATTTTGTGACATTGAGCTAACAAGAGAATGAATCACAGAGTTAAACAAGCTGTTAAATACGTTTTACAAATCTATAAAAAGTGCAGCACAGTGGTCCTTGACACTCAAGGCTTCCACAAAGTCACTGAAAGTTTAGCTGAAGCAATGAGAGTCCACTGTTGCATCCTGAAACCAGACTAATTGGGAGACAGACTATTTAGTTGGCTATTTTATACGTACAGACTTCTGGCCAAACTTTTACAACAGTAGGATTTGTACTTGGTTGTCATTTAAACTAGCAAAAAGTATTGCATTTCACTTCACAGTTTGTTGAAAAGAGTCATTTCAGCCACAACTTTTCATGTCCATCAACTTATATTGATAAGAAACTATAGAGTATAGAGAAAGTCATTTAGGATAACGCCAGTGTGGCTTGGGCCAGAGTTAGGGAATCAGGAATTTAATAATCAATAAAAGAACCATGAACAATCCCATAGGATGTTTTTTCCCCTTAATTTTCTGGAGGAGCTGGTTTTGCAACTTTACTAACGTTTGCACTAACATTGCTAGTGGGTGAGTCCGATTATTTATGTTTCATTCTGTACCGTAAGTTGGTACATACCAGTTCTGCATGATTGTACAGTTGAAACCAGACATTTTTCCGATTTTCATTCACAGCCTGATTTTAAATAAGACTAAGTAAACTTTTCCTCTTTTAGATCATTTAAGAATACCCAAATTATTTATATTACTCAATGCCAAACAAAACGAAAGAGATGGATATTTTTTTGTTTTTTGTAGGGGTTTAACCCTCCGCAAGATTCTCAGAATAGTTTGCTGGAATTATGGTCTTTGCTTATAGATAAATGGATTGTTCATTGCTGAGTTTGGTGGTTGATATCCACATTTCATACCAAGACGTGCTCATTTGTGGGACAAATAGCTCAGCTCCTTCTCTATGTGAATAGAGTTTGCATAGTTTGAACATGTGAATGAGACACTTTCAAGAAATAGAACCCAAAATGATCCAAACATAGATCATCCTTCTGATATCTTCACTTATTTCCTTTAAATTTCCAATGTTGTCATTGAAAAAAACAATGTAACTCAGGTAATATGTTAAAGTTCATCCACAGGTATGTCTCTATTTTACTCAAATTCTGCTCATTGATCTGATGTTGACAAGTCTCCCACATCATCTGAGACTTGACAAGTTGCTTTAAGCCATTTTACTGTAAGCTTCCGAATTTAAAGTGAAATTATATGTCAGCCTGACTGTATGATTAGATATCTGGAATAAAAAGAAAAAAAAAGAACGAAAGAAAGAAACGTCCCCAGTCATCTAGAACTTCTTTACCAAAGAGCTGGTAAACATCATTACACAAACATATTCTCAGCTCAAAACAAAAATTCTAACCACAAATACATTCTAAAGATAAATAATCATGAAGCTGCTCCGCTCCGCAGTTCATACCTTTCATGGCGTTTCAATTGCTCGTTGAGGTTTGTAGAAGCGATGAGGATCTCAATCACTTTCTGCGCATCTCCGCATCCAGTGCAAAGGAGTTAACTTTTTCACGCTGAGAGCAACACCTTCCTCTCTGCCTGACACTCTGCACAGTTATATGCCTGAGCTCATGTCCGGCTCTGCGTTTAAAATTCCATCGTCTCCGATTTTCCGCTCGCTGGGGTTCAGAGGCGCTCCGGAAGCCGCACCGATGATCTGAGAGTCTTATCCTTCAGCGCTGCGCCGCGCGGAGCCCAGCAGTTTGCGCGGAAGCAAGTTCACCGAAGTAAGGCCCAGATGAGGGTCTCTATTGCAGCTGATAGTTTCAAAATAAAGCTCAGTCTAGCGACCACGTCAAAAAGAAATTTAGTGAATTATATCGTATCCTTTTTAGCCTTAGTTTAAAATTTTAACTGTTTGCTTTTAACAAACTACCTAAAAATCTCTCATGAGATTATTAGATTGATCTGTTATATAGACATATCAAATTCTAATCTTATACATATTTGTATAGCCTATAAAATTCAATATTTTATATTGAATTTAAGTTTTTGTTTTTGTTCAAATGATATAGGCCTAAATATTTTTAGTTTTATTATTTTAAAACTAAAATAATAAAACTAGAGTCTGTGGGTTGCCGACCTGTGGGTGAACCCCGCCCCTCGGCCAGTGACCCCTGGACAGAGGTCATGGACCCTGCAAGGAAAAGTGAGCACAGATGATGGGTGGATGGATGAAGTGTGTGCGCAGCAAATTATTGATTATCGCATCTGGCCACGTGGAGCATACTGGGGATCATCCACTAGAGGGCGTAACAAAAAGTAGCTTCAGGTCTGGAGAAAAAAAAAAAACTTTGCTAGAGAGGCAAATTATGGTGTTTGTGTATGTGGTTAATGTTATTGGGACAAAAAGCACCAGTCCACTGACTAGCTCAAAAATACTCATCTGGTTGTAATTTTGAAAGAGTAAAATGTCCAACGTCTGAGAAACGTTTGTTTTGTTAGCGCTTCCCTTTCCGGTGTTTTCCGCGGTATTCTCCAGAGCTTGACATGTTGCTTCGACATTGGAGTCCAGCAGTCTCCTGTTGCCCTGTCTCCTCCTGTTGGAGGACGAGGCTCCAGCGAGCGGGACTGCAGCATAAAACCCATCCGGAGATGAGTGGAACTGCGGGGGGGATGGCCGTCATGAATGTCCCCCAGGAGAAAACCTGGTACCCATTACTGTGTTTCAAGGACAACATTTGATTTGTGCCGAGTTCCTGTTTTTACATCATCTTATTTCTATACTTAAAAATGGCACATGAACTAATTAATAACCAGGAGGAGTAATAAATGCAGTCTACACATTTTGTAACTTTTTTTTTTTTTGACGTTTGCTAATATTCTTTCTGTCTTTCTGTCTTTATAGATCAGAAACCTGAAAATACATACCTGTCACACCTAATCTAAATAGATGAATGAAAAAGTTAAATTTAAAAAATCTTTGTATCTTGTCGATAACAATGTTAATAAAATTGGTGGAATACTTGTAATAAAAAGTGTGTGTGTGTGTGTAGGTGTGTGTGAGAGAGAGTTTTTTTATAGACCTAAAAGCCTGCAAAAATAAACACATTTCAATTATTCTTAATATGCAAAGATGATTTCTCTTTTTTACCCAGTAATAAATTTTATTGAATAACATTTTCGGGGACAGACAGATGACCTCCCGAAAGCAACCGAAATGATCCCCGTCTCATCACGGTTATAAAATGGAGTGTCCACCAGAAACCACTTTTCTTTAATTCTTCCAGGTGCTGTGATAATTCCAACACTTCCTGCGTCTGCAGTCTGTCCGGCCTGCAGAGGCAGCTCAGTGATCAAAGGTTGAATGCCCAGCTGCATCCCTGCAGGCAAATAGGAAGCAGTACAGCATGCATGCTGTTGTCTTAATATTTACTCATGATAATTCATGTTGACAAAAGTTCAAACTAATTAATTTAAAGTTAAGGATTTAGAAAACTTGCTCCCATTTATTCTTTATTCTATTTGTCTTCATTTCTTTCTCCAAGAGACAACAAAGTATGCCATACATCAGATTCCAGTCCAACCTCTCAATGACAAATACACTAATTGCTTGTTTTTCAAAAGGCTTCAAAATTGTTATTCCACTGTCAGTTATAATTGCAGCAGCAGGTTTGTGTTAGGGCTCAAAGATTGTGCTGAGATGATGAAAAGCAGATGCAGGGTCAGATATCTTACAGGTTCCTTCTGCTGGCTTTCACTCAAGGGTCTCGGATCTCATTTGCTGGGTCAAGGCTTTTCAGCAGCGGATCCGGATTAAAACAAGGCTCCAAAATGGCAGAGGAATTCCACATTAACCATGCAGCTTACAGAGCATGCAGAGGATATTCTGAATAGAAGTATGTCAACTAACATTTCTGAGCTGGTGGAAGGAGAGGGAAATTGATGCGGCAGGCTTGGATGACAGGAAACAGAAAAGCACCTTTCAAATAGGATTTCTAAACTATTTAACTCCAGATTTCTTAAACTGAGTCCAGTTAGTATCTTTGGGTTGCACATGGGGAAAAAAATGGTTCATACTCCAAGAAAAAATTTTATAGGTCTTAAGAGTCCAACAATTTCAGCTATGCAGCACGGGAACGTTGTGTGTGATAAATTGCTTGTGGCTTTCCAGTTATGGCTGCACAGCGTTGCACAGATCAGAATACATTTTTTCCTTGTGGCTGATTGCATGGCTCCATCTGTATCTGAATTCCTGTCCACCTTCTGACAAAAAACAAACAAACAAGCAAAAGAAAAAAAATAATTCAGGTAGAGTAGATGGAACTGAAATGAAATCACACATGTTTAAGGTCTTGTCATGATTATTTGGTGCACACATTGTTTGTGTCACCAGTATGGACTGAGGCTTCCTTGAGCCTGAGTAGTGAGGCAATTTGAATCAGAGAAACTGAATCAGAGAGAGACTCTACATAAATCTGCAACAAGTCCTACCACAGCTGTTCCCGGTCTTTTAAATTGTTCACACTGGTACTGGGTCAGAGTTGATGCTTGAGCTGATCCCACACAGATGATGTTCAAAGATTGGGGGACTCTGTATAGCACTTTGAAGGGCTTCAGAATTATGCAGGTATTCCATGGACACACATCCCATAGTAAGCTCAGATAAACACTTAAATGTGGGGACTGTTGCTTTCTGATACCAATCTGAAGACCTCTTTACAAAAAAATCAACCACTAACTTAGTTAATAAAAATGGTTTCTGTGACTCTTTCTGATGCCCACAAATCTCACTAAACATCCAGGTCTAGATCTAACTCTCTGTCAGAGACAGTAATGTTTGCCCAGAGGATCCAGGATCTGGGAGCATGCTAGAGAGAGTTAGAAAAATACTGGCCAACTGATGAACATGAGTTTACAATAGACATGTTTTATGCTGGAAATTAAATAAGTTGTTTCCTTGTCTCCCAGTGACATGTCTCTCTTGTCCTGCACATGTGGTGGCCTCTAAAGTAGAGCTTAGCCCCAGTCTGAGACAAAGGAAGTAGGTGCTGGGTCTCTGCAGGAGGTTGAGGCTCTCCATCAGTCTGTTGGAGATTTGACCTGAGGAAGGTCCTGCAGTCTGTTACAAGCAGGTATGTGCAAGAGACATGCATGTGAACAACTGAGCCTCGCAACTGCGTATTAATGCCGGTATTACGTTGATCTCTGGGTACGCTCCACACATAATGCAAATACATTAAGAGGATCTGTGGTGCTGAGTCGCTCCACAAAAATAGAATACAGGAGGCAGACTCTTCCACTCTTCCATCCAAGAGGACCTGGAGCTTTCACTCTAAGTCTGATTTATTCATCAAGGTAAAAATCTGGTCTACTCTGTTTCTGGTTCTGTTTTGCATAGCATTTAAATGAAAAAAATAAGTAAATTACCAAAAGCAGCAGCTAATAATATACAGGTGCTCCAAAGGAAATGGAATTGTTTGATTTAATGACTTCACACACATTATAAAAACCTATATTTTTGCAATGTTCTCTTCCTGCATCACTAGCAATGCTTAATAGTTATATGTTGTAAATTTCCAGAATACTTATGAAGTAATATAATTAGTCACACAAGTTGCATGTATTCCTACTATGTTGCAAATTTTTCATGTTTTGAAGGAAAGGTTTGAGAAATGGCGCCACCTTGTGGCCTCCCTTTCAGTATTCCTGCAATTTTGAAACAGAAAAATTCCACGTTTTTATCAGTTAAATGTCTCCCAAGGTTTATGTACATGTTCCCAGATTTATGTACAATGTACATAAAAAAGCTTTGCTTTATCCAACAAAAAAATAAGTGAAATTTTGCATTTTTTGGATGTTTCAAAACAGGATGAGGAGGCTTCTAGTTCAAATCCTGTGCATCACTAACATTTTCCTGTGTTCTGCTAATTCTCCTTCACTGAGTGAAGACATCCTGACAAGTAAGGTCTCTCACTTCAGCACATAACCTGACTGTAAAAAGGGAAAGAAAATCAAGAAAAACTTGATTGCTTCTCTGATTTGTGTAGATCTGTCTGCAGCTGGTGAGAAGTATGTGACTGAAGAGATAAAGGAGTCTCTACTCAGAGTGAAACAAGTGAAAGAAAAAATGGAGAAAGAACAAGAGAAGCACAGGCACCTGATGGAGGAAGTGAGGCACAGTGGAGACAAGAAAAGGGTGTGCTATTTTTTAAAATTATTTTTGTAATTTAATAACAATTATGCATGTTATTAGTGGATTGAAGTATTAGCTTCTGATGATAGGTTGGAAATTAAAGAATCAATTCTTTGTAATGATCATTGAATGCATCATAAAGTGAGAAATTATTCCTATAGGAAGAAGACTTAAAGTAGTCTATTTAATCTATTTTCTATTTCAGCAATGTGTCTAAAAAGAAAACAAGAACAAGCACAAAATGTATTAGTAGCCATTTAAAGGAAATCCGTATTTTGGCATGTTGTCTTTTCACCCAGAATGTTCCAATAGAAAGTTGGACTTCACCAGGTGCAGGTCATTTTCCTTACTTACCATTCAGTACTTTTGCAGTTTTAGTTATTTCACAAAATTAGTTATCGGTCACAGAGAGTAAACGTTGAAGAGACAAGTCAGCCTGCTGCCTTCAGCAGCTAACAGGAAGGCTAAATGTATTACAGCAGGTCAGTTTCAACTTCCTGTATTGGAACATGGAAGATGTCAGATTTAAAGTTTCAAAAATGTTAAATATATATATGTATGCATGTATAGAATTCTGAGATACAAATCTCACAATTATATACATATAATTCTGAGATTTAAGTTAGAATTGTGAGATTAAAGTTGGAATCCTCTAATTTTTTAGTGTTCTTTATCCTCCTTCATTTCTGATGCATACACTCCTAACAAAACTTATGATTTGTATCTTGAAAGCTTTGCCAGAGAAAGAGCATTACAGTTTTACGCTTGTCTTTTTGCTTCTTATCAAAGAAAATTATTATTTTCTGCCTCCTAAACAGCAGAGCCACAGAGAAACCACAAAGCAGTCAGAGAATCATGAATGTGGGAGCACAGCATGTGTAGGATAAATGAACCGTCTACAGATTTATATGTTTGCTGTTCTTTTTAGAAGAACAGGCTTGGCTGCATGCCAAACTCCTGGCTTATTAAGTGGTGTCTGTTGGGGGTTGTTTTAGGGGGCCATGCAGCTGGCCAGGGAAACGGAGCAGAAACTCGAGGAGGCCGAGCGGCAGTGTCGAGATTTAACTAAGTCTTTCTTTGGGGAATGTCGGCCTTGTCTGGAGGATTCTTGTAAGGCCTTCTTTACCTCTACATGTCGCCGTGGCTACGCTTCCTTTGTTTTTGAGGTTTGACTTCACTTTTAAAAAGTCTGGCTGAAAGTGACGATGAGGCGTAACAGGTGCTGACCTGAAAAATCTCTCTTTATTTACAGGTTGAGGAATTTTTTAGGAAAATGGCCTCCCAGGTTGATGCCACAGAGCTGAATTCAGATAAACTTCAGTCTGGTTCAGCTGAGAGCCAGATTAAAAAGGATGAAACAGACATGGAGCTTCTTCAGGCTGATGCTGCGTTCACTCAGCTGCTGTCGAACATCAGTGACTTATATAACCAGAGCATCAGTCTGATGAAGAATTTGCAGCATGTGCTTGGACCCTCCCTTCTCGAAGCCTTAACCTCAGAGCTCCAGTCGGGGTCTATCTCTGCATTGCCAAATGAATCTGACAGTCTTTTAAAAAGTTGGGGTTTGGATCGCATCTTTTACTCAGCATTTGCGTTTGGGAAAGATGTGCTGGAGGAATTGAGCTCCACGGTGGAGGATGTTTTCGAAGAGATTCAAGAAGCAGACAAATATTTTCACCACTCAAACAGAGGTATCTGACACATCCTGATGCACTATATCTGTATCTATTTTATGTGAGCAGAAATGACAAATTCCTTACTAATGTCCAAAGATGCAGAATCGCTTTCTTCATTTGGACAGCATCCAAATGGGTATCTGTGCCGAACGCTCCGCAGACAGGCATCACAATGTTGGCAACTCCAAAACCTGTGTGAGACCTGTGGAAAGAATCTCATAAAAGGTAAATAAAGTGCTGTTTCCCAGCCCTGTGTTGGCTTAATAAGTTAATTTAACTAAACTAACTAAAATTCTACTGCTTTCTTTTACTATAGAGGATGTAACAATAACCATGATGAAAAGAGTTATGATAACTTTTTGATGTAGCTGCCCCTTGACCTTTTATCACACATTTTTCATGTTACAATAAATGTACTATGTTTTATATTCAAATTTGAAGTGGTGGGTTAACAGAAAGCAGAGCATGAAGTGAAAAGAAATGACAAGTGGTTTTCAAGATGTTTAAAAAAAAATCTTAAAAGAAAATGAAACAAAAATTGTCTCCTTGAGCCTTGTGCTTCCTGTGAGTTGGTTCTATGTCAGGTTTTTATGTCATGAAGCTTATATATAAATGGTAAAATTTACGCAAAAGGAAAAATAACAAATATGAATATTGAAGGAAAGTGGAGGTTTTATGATGCTGCTGGGTTTGAGCTGAAAAAAAAACTTAAATAAGTTCGCTATAAACTTCATACAATTTTTATTATATTGGTTGAATTGTGTTTTTATCTATACAATTATAGTTTTTGCACATCTGTGGGTGTTGTTAAGTTTGAATCATAACAGCACAACCTCAGTCCTATTCATTAGAAAAAATACACAAAAGTTCACAATGGTATAAATAAGATGGACTTAAAGATCCCAGAGATGTTTTGAACATTATGACCCATAGGATTTAATAATAAAGTTTGTTTTTTACCTCAATTTTATCCTTCTATTAACATTTCTGCTCACAGAGTGTCCCCGATTGCAGCAGCTGCACTCTGAGATGGAAGAGATGCACACCCTGCTGAACGCCTCTCGTCTTCAGTATGACGACAGGCTGCAGCTCGTCCACAGACACACAGCGGACACACAGAGGTGGCTTGGGGACACCAGGGACAAGTATGGCTGGATCAGCTGGGCAGCCAATGACTCAGGGGCTCAGAGCAGCAGCTTCAGGGTGATCGCAGTACGTCTGCAGAATACTTAGAAAAAGTATCGCTTTTCATTCTCTCTTTTTGGATTGCAACATCAATTCTGGAGAGATTTGCCGTTTATCAAGGCAAATCTCTCCAGCTAATTCAGTATCTGATGTTTTTGCAAACATATTAATAATACACAAACATATTAATTATGCACAGTCTCTTTATTAACAGAAACCTAAATAAGCTGTTCTTATTTAAATAGTGAGATGATGCAGTTGTACTCTGATTATTTTCAGGTGAATCTGCAGCAGCAACTAAGGACTAAGAGCCATGGAGCTGACATCAGTGTGGTTGTGTCCATATTGGATTCAGCTCCTCTAACTGTATCAGCCCCAGCTGATCTAATGGTAGAGGATCCTGCTTTCATGGAATATATTGCTGACCATGCTCTGACACTCTATAAGCAGCAAATAAGTGGTAAATGTTCTTTAATTAATGTTCTTAATTCCCATGATGCACCATGTGTCACCTTAGAAACCCCTTAAATCAAAATGAAAGCACTGCGATTAAAACCTCTTAGAACTTTAGATTGTTTGATGCTACGATTGATTTTTCAGTATCTCAGTCACATTGAACAGAAATCAGAAATGTTTGTTTATTTATTTTTACTTACAGGAATGAACTGACCACCTCCGCTTCTGAACAAAATTCCTCTGAAATGGAAAAATATCTGCAGTCAAGTCCACTCATCTTGTATAATTTGAAGTTTATGTCACTAAAACAAATTGGGAAAGCTTTTCAGCTTCTTGCCTTTCCATTGATAGATTTTGAATTGCTTTACAGTATACTGTCTGATGCACTGATGGCTATTTTTCCTTCTTTATCATCAGCATGATCCTCAACAATGACATACGGAAAATAAAGAAACTGAAGAATCACATCTTGAGTCACTAACCTTTATGCAAGTTAAAAAATAAAATGGAAATAAAATCTATCCGTTTTGGGGTTGTATGGAGCACAGTGAGGGATTAGTAGCATTCCAGAACTGAACTTGGGCACCACCTATTTTCGCAATAGCACAATCACCATCATACAACTTCCATTTTTGATGTGTTTTTATAGTGCCACACTAACGCAGCATTGATAACTTGTTGATTATTAAATAATGTGTTGTGTGAAATGCTATTCTGTAATACCATGTTCATAAATTATTGGGCAAAAAATACTAAAACATAGCAAAAGTTTGTTTTCTCTAGTGACAATTTTTATTTATTTATTTGCATAAATAAATGCAAATAAATATTTGCTTTTGTTTATACAAATGCAAATAAATAAACACTTATTTATTTATTTGCATTTGTTTGCAAATAAATGCAAATAAGGCGAGCTCTCTTAGGTCAATCAGAGCGATGTGGGGGGAAAAGGACCTCGGGGCAGGGAACCCCACTTCCACCTTCTGGCTCCTCCCCTTCTTGTCGGGCCAATAGGAAGCCCTGTATTGCCCGGCAAATTTCGCCCGGGAAATACAGACAAACACCCGGGTTCTTGACTGTTGGTGACTGAGGAGGCTCGGACTTTGCTCCACTACCGAAGCAAACCTCAACTTTAATCTGTAAACATGCCTGCAACCTCTGAAATACACACCGAGGAGCTGCGCAGAGACGCCGCCTCTTGGACGGACGAGAAGCCAGCAACGGAGAAGGACGAGAAGAAGTTCGGCTTTCTGTGCGATGAACGCGGATATTTGAGTCTAGCAGAGTACATCATGGAGCACGGCTGCAGGAAGGGAGACCGAACCGGGACAGGAGTCCTGTCTTTGTTCGGAGCTCAAGTCCGATACAACCTACGAGGTACAGACCAGCTTCAGCCTATGTGCGTCCAAACATAGTCGTGCTATGAATGAGTGAATGAATGAAAATGCTGCACAGGTACAGAGATGCAGTACAGGGATTAGGACATTGAACTTTGGTGATTTTTGTTCAGTTTTCCGAAAAGGTGATAAAATTAGAGTTTATGGGAAGATAACCAAGGCGAGGCTATTACAGACTTGGAATGACAAAGCTGTGCTCTACATACCCAACTGTGGCTTTTACTGTTTTTTGGTACACCTGGCCTAGTCAAAGTCCAGACTTGGACTAGGGCTAGGCTAGGCTCGCTGGGCCTGGCGAGTGGGGATTTGAAGAAAAAAAATCCCCACACAATATTTTGTTAATGATGTAATAAAGTCAGAAAAGGTTAAAGGTGTGTGAGGATTTTATTTTATTCAAAACACTAGAGTTCCCTTAGGTCAATCAGCGGTATGAGCTGCAAAAGATCTTAGGATTGTGATGTCAAAGGCATTTTTGAGCATTTGCATTATTAGCAGTTAATCTGTTTTGTTTTTGTTTTCTTTGCAGACCAGTTCCCCTTGTTGACAACGAAGAGAGTTTTCTGGAAAGGTATCCTGGAGGAGTTGCTGTGGTTTATCAAGGTGAAGATGATGTGAAATCCCCACTTGATTCTTCATTTTCTATGTTTCACCAGAGCTAACGAGGCTGTTGCATTTGTTTTATATGCTGCAGGGATCAACAAATGCCAAGGAGCTGTCAGAAAAAGGAGTGAAGATCTGGGACGCCAACGGGTCCCGTGACTTCCTGGACAACTTGGGCTTCACAGAAAGGGAGGAGGGGGACCTGGGGCCTGTGTATGGTTTCCAATGGAGGCACTTCGGTGCAGAGTACAAGGACATGCACACAGGTACTGCACTGTTGTAAAAAGCAAAGCTATTAGAATGTCTTCAATGCGATGTTTAATGTTTGACTCATAAAGTCCACAAAAGCACATCATATGATGATCTTTTTTTAAGTAAAATACATTTTCTCACTTTGATTGTTTAACTTTAATGACATATTTAATCTAATTTGTTATCGAAGCACTTTAACAGTCAACAGTCTACGAAAAACAGAACCTGCTGCTGTTATGGTACACTGCAGAGAGCTGAACTGGCCCATCCTTCAGTTTTTGTTCTATTAGATATCTATTATAAGCCAATCAATACACACTTGTTTTTTTTTTAATGAAACATAAAGGTAAAATAACTAAGTCCATGAACTGTATGAAAATATCCCTTTTTCAAAATACCTACCATTACTGTATGCCTTGAATTAACCTTAAACCTACAGTAAACCTCTTAAGAACTACAGTATGTCTGCTGTTATTTTTAAATTACAGCTTTTAGTCTGAATGTGTTGATTCCTCCGCTCTTTCAACAGATTACACAGGACAAGGTGTCGACCAGCTGCAAAACATCATTGACACCATCAAGAAAAACCCGGAAGATCGACGGATCATCATGTGCGCCTGGAACCCCAAAGGTAAGTCAAGGTTACAGTTCTTGTTTTTTGTTTTGTTTTTTCTGCTGTTTGTTTTCTGATATGAACATCCTCGGTGTCTGCAGACCTCCCCTTAATGGCACTGCCTCCCTGCCACGCCCTCTGTCAGTTCTACGTCTGTGACGGGGAGCTGTCCTGTCAGCTGTACCAGCGCTCCGCCGACATGGGCCTGGGGGTGCCTTTCAACATCGCCAGCTATGCACTTCTCACCTACATGATTGCACACATTACAGGACTCAAGGTACGAGCGCTGCACAAGCTTCATTTCTGTTCAATCTACAGACGTGTTGTCTAACGTCTCACATCTCGTTCCTTGCAGCCCGGTGACTTTGTCCACACCCTGGGAGACGCTCATGTCTACCTCAATCACGTCGAACCTCTGAAAGTGCAGGTGGGTTAGATCAGTCAGTTCAGCTAAAACATTTCTTCAGTTGCGTTTGATTTCTGATTTATGCAATCTGTTCAAATGTGCAGGTCCAGAGGGAGATTCGCCCTTTTCCAACACTAAAAATCAAGAGAAAAGTGGAAAGCATCAATGACTTCCAGGCGGAGGACTTTGAGATCTGTGGCTACAACCCACACCCCACCATAAAGATGCAGATGGCCGTGTGAGACCTGAAATTGGCCGTGTGTGCCTTTTAATTTTGAAAGACTGTAGTTCACACAAGGCTTTATTTTGCCTAATTTAGGGGAAAAATGTTTTTTTTTTGTTCCTGAAGTTTTCTACTGTATGTTTGTACTTGTCTATTTTTTTCTTTCCTGTATTTTAACTGATAAATTATCTAATTCTGTAAAACATTTGTGATCAACCTGATAAGAAACAAACAAATCAAAAGAACCCTCCAAATTGTGCGTTTTACAAAGATTTGGTGATTTGAGAGAAATTATTTAGAGTGAATATTTAACAGTGAAATGTTGATAATAAAGTCCTTATTTGTTGATTTGTAGTTTCCAAACGTCTCCTTCCGGGTACTCGTGTCTCTTCACTGATGATTCCAGCATCTCACAGGAATAGCCTGGATCCTAAAACCAACAAGAACCACACAGATTCAGTGACTTGTAAAAGTATTCACACCTCTAAACCTTTCCACACATTTTGTCAATTTACAACTACCAGCCTAAATCTATTTTAAGTGATAGACGAGACCAGAAAATAATAATGAAAGATTCGTGTCTTGGTACTCAGCCACCCTGAATCAATGTTTTGTAGAACCACCTTTTGCTGTGTTTGCACCTGCTGTGCCACTGCCTGACAGAAATTTTTAACCAATCTTAGCAAAATTGCTCCACTTCAGTCAGCCTGGACAGATTAATTAGATTTAGGCCAGGACTTTGACTGGGACATCTTTACACAAGTATATGCTATGAGGTAAATTGAGAATGGATTTGGTTGCATTTTATTTACACTAAAGGGGTCTGACTGCTATTATATGTCAGTTTTTTACTTTTAAAATATTTTGTAAACCTTGCCACATTTTTCTTTCCCATTTTCAAATTTGCAGATCATAGTCTTGGTCCATCACATAAACAAAATAAACTATGCTAAAGGTAGCACTTCAGTATATTTTCATTTTTCAGTCAAACATGAAACAATGAGTTTTGTTGTGATTTCTTTACCTTCGGGGTCAGATAGTGGGCGTTTTGTACCACCGCAGGACTGGTGAAGTGTTCATGGAGATGGTCAACATATTCACACATTCTGCAAAGGCACCAAAGGTTTTTGAGACGGTGCCGGTATTCATGGCAGCCAGTAATTAAAACACCTCTCACCGGCCGCTGAGATCCGCCGACACGCAGATGTAATCAAACAGGATGAGGTGCTGAACCAGTTCACACAGACCGACCCCTCCAGCATGAGGGCACACAGGCACTGATAAAAAACAAACAGTTGCACAATGCTATTTAAAAACATGATAGATCCACTGATATGAAGAAACTGGAGCAGACAAACACAGTTGTACAATTAATAGTCTTAACTTTGTTATTCAGTAACATTGCAAGATTATTCAGCACTAAATAGCTACCATATGGATGGAATGATCATGTTTACACAGTGTAATTATCAGTTTGTACAAAACAAGAATGATTCATCTCGTTGACTGTAATACGCTTCTGCAGAATGTAGCCTTTTGAAAAAGGTATTTAAAGCATATTTAATACTTGTCGATTTGCAAAAATTACTGTTCATCCTTTAATCTGGCAAATGTGCCTCATCATTTTCTAATTTATTGGAAATTACCTGCTTCAATGCTCCTCAGTTGTGACTTTGTGCCCTCATTGTTTTTCTCTCCCATTTAAAGTTGTCCTTGTTGAAATTAACTTTGTGCACTCTACTTTTTTTTCCATTGAAAGTAACTCTGGTTTGGGGATTCTGTATTTAGCTAGACGAACTCTTTCACAGAGTAACTGCTGCCGCTCTTGCTTCCTACAGAAAGAACTCTTTTATTACTGCCTCCATCTTTTCCTCTGTCTGCTTCCTGTTCTCTTAAGCACCAGTCTGTCACTGCAGATGGGTACTGCTGGAGATGTCCATCTCTCATCTGATGCCTCAAATCAACAAACTGCTACTTGAGCTTTGCTAATTGCACTGAATGATCCATGACTGAAGACAGCTGTCCTGCTTTTTACCTTTGAACTTGTGGGCCATCAGCAGCACAGCCAGGTTTTCATTGACGCTGCCCAACCGGCAGCTGTCTATTTGAACAAACTGCAGCGCTGAAGCTTGCAGGAACTGCTTGAACATCACTCTGTTGTGACACTGCAGAATAAAAAAACCCAAATTGTTATACTGAGGAACAAATCTAGTTGCTTCACCTAATTTTAAGTGCATAGGAAACGCTTGAACTCCAACCTGCTCGCCTGAAGCCACTCCAATCCCAAGTGGAGCCAAAGCCTGACAAAAGAATTGTAGAGATTATTCACTTCTGATCAAAGAGGCATTAATAAAAAAGACATGTTAAAGTTCTGACCAAGGATACTAGGTTTTCATAATGTTATTTGTAAATTCTTGTATTTGAAAAATATATGAATTTATATCACATTTGTTCATATTTATTCATTTTTTAAATTATATTCAGTGATTTTTCTAAATGACAAAACATGCAGTCTTTAAATTAGCTTAAAAAAAGCCCAAATTGAAACCGTTCTAGAAGTGCATGGCCTATGCTAATATTGCATTTCAAAGCATTCCAGACATAACTAATCCACAAGCAAGTTAAAAACTCTTGAAAAAATAAAAACAAAAAGTTTTGAAATAAACTTAGAGACACAGCTACAATGAAAAACAATCCTATCTGGTTTAATGTGCTGTTAAATATATATTTATGAACATTTCTCTCACCTTAGAAATAGCAGCATGACCCAGGATGTCATCCGGAGAAGTGGGCTCCTCGATCCACAGAGGTCTGACCTCTGCCAGTCTGGCCACCCAGCTGATGGCCTCGGCTACGTCCCACCTCTGGTTGGCGTCAATCATCTAACACAAACATATTTCGAAATTAAACAATAAAACTTCACTGCATCCTTAATAGTGAAATGAATAAATAAATAGCCTTACCAATGTGTTACTAGGCCCAATCATCTGCCTGATGAGACGACACCTGCGGATATCGTCCTCTAGGTCAGCGCCAACTTTCACCTTAAACCGGGTCCAACCGTGTTGAAGAGCCTCTGTGCAAAGCTGGAGAAACAACATCATCACAACATAAAAACGAGACCCTCCAATGTGTGGAGACGCAGCAGGTTGTTGTGCGGTCCACCTGTTTGAGCTGTTGGTCTGAGTATCCCAGCCAGGCGCAGGAGGTGGTGTAGGCAGGATAACCCTGGCTCATCATAAGGTCCTCTAGCAGGTGAGAAAAGTCATTGCAGTTAAAGAGTTTTGCTCACAACAAATCTTCGTGAAGATATTTACATTAACTAAAAGTGATTAAGTTGGAGCCAAAAGAGGTTTTTCAAGTGAAATCCAATTTAGGGGCGAAATTAATGGCTCTTCTGTCTGCTCACCTCTCTGCTGCTTTCCCTCCTTTGCATTTACAAGTATGTCTGAAAAAGCAAAAGGGAGCAAATAAAGCCGACTAGTCTCAATAAGAAAAGCAGTGAAGAGTTTACTGCCTCTCGTTAACAGATATAATGACTTAGACATTTTAAAGACACATTTACACACTATTTTTTTTTAGGTTGGACTAATTTTACAGCATAAAACAACTTAAAATGCACAAGTTAGAATTTGAAATTATGAACAAGGGACTTTGAGTGAAATTTTTTGAAAAATCAAGGGAATTCATGTTAGCTGATTTGTCCCTCTTTACTCTAATTGTGACGCATGTTTAGGACCATAGTGCTATAGGACCATGCAGCTATGTTGACATCATCAACCATCTGACCCAAATAATCACCCTCAGAAGGAAAGAAATCCAGCAACCACCCAGGTGCAGGCTTTGCTGTTTTTCTCCCAGACATCTAAGTGGATTGCAACAAGTGAGTAAAATAATGAAAATCAAGGACAGTTTATTCAATTTCACCCCAAATCCACCGCGAACTGGTTGGAAATTGGACACAGCTAAGTGCTTCAACAAGACATTGTGGCAAACAAACATCAAAAGCGGATTTTTGAGTCAATAAAGCAGGTTAACATTATTATTCAGGAAAGTTCAAACCCCAACTACATTGAAGATATGTGGGTTAGGTTTTAAGGCAAGGTCTGAACAAGAAACCAATCAATGAATATAAATTTAGTAAGAAGTGTGGTCAAAAATCCAACAGGATTACACTGGATGCTTCTTGGTGGTAAAGAGGTTGTTTTGTCTCTCTGGATCTTTGTATGGGATATTTATCCAGATATCAAGGGACATAAGTTTGTATACTTTAACTTTTATGTGCAATTTTCAACCTGTTTGAATAAGAGAAAGTCTACAGCAAATTCAACCTTGTGAATCCAAATATTGTATTTTGTCTTTAAAATCCCCAAATCAGTGCAGATTCCTGTATATGACTGGATGAAAAGCTCTGACCAAAAGGCCAAGTAGTCCTCTATCGTGTCTTACCAAGAGCTTCCTCCTCTGTCAGCACATCGGTGATGTATCTGAAGTCAATGCAGGAGATTATCTGTTTCGGATCCTGGATCGACACACGACACAATATTTGTTCCCGGTGATCACATCCTGCATGCCATTCAAATTTATCTCACACTCACCATGTCGACCAGCAGCTTCCACAGAGGCTACAGGAAAATAGCGACAGTCGGCTGTGAATCTTGAGCCTCATTGACAAACTGTGAATGTTATCACGAGAGCCTGATATGAAAGTCCCACCTTGCCCTCCACCCGAGCCCACAAGTCCCAAACAGCATTCAGGACAGCAGCGGTGGCCAAGTGGATCACGCCTTTCTCTGGACCCAGCTATACCAACCAAGATAAGGTATTGCAGATGCTTTAATGAAAGCAATACTTTATATTTGATCTCCAATAGGGTGTTGTTTAGATTTTACAACAGATGTGAATAAAGGACAGCCTGAGTCCCCATAAAAGCAGGAACATTTATGACTAATTTTTTACCCGTTTGAGATCTCATAGATCAGAGTTACTGTTTGATTGGAGACAATAAACTGAGAAATCAATAAACTATTTCTTGAAAAGCTGCACCAAAATCTCCTTGGTTACAGCATTAATCCTCTATGAAATCTGAAAGCGAATTTCATACAACAACCAAATTCAAAATCTAAAAGCCTTTATGTGTTTAAGCCTTTACCCATCTTATTTGGCCATCACTCGTCAGCAGCCGGTAAAACCCCCGAAAGTTGCTCACAATGTCGTGCAAAGATTTCCCAACAACCAGTCCTGCCAGAGCCCGGACGGCACACACCACTGCAGGAGTTCAAATGGAAAAACACTGCATTAGAATGCATTAATGTATGTATAAAGGCTACCACATTCTGCAAAGCACG